TAGAGAAAACAGGGGGAGTTGGTTGGTTGGAGGTGTATTGGCGTTAGATTGGAAGGTGCTTATGATTGTGTAGAAAGGGAAGCGTCTTATGGAGGTTTATGCGTTGGCAGGATTTGGAGGAAAGAAAATAATATCTTGGGCAAAATTTTTGTATCAGGGGGCTCGATGAGGGTGCAGGTTTTGGGAGGCTGGGAGTTAAAATACAGATGCGCCGGGCACTGGCCAGGCTGCCCACATATCTCAAATATTGTTTTGCGTGTATACAGGATCATTTTTATAGGGCCATTCGGAGGTGTGTTAGCGGAGTGGTGGGGAGGGTACTGACGGGGGGGGGGGGGGGGGGCTGGTTATCGTAGATTATGTGGATGACTCGACTGTTTTGGTGAGAGGTAATGGGGATTTGCTTAGGGTGGGGTAAGGTGGTGGGTGTTTGTTTGGGGAGGCTTCAGGTATGAAATTTTTAATGTTGAGAAGACTAAGTTTTCTAGACTTAAGGGATAGTTTACAATGGGGATGAGGTGGTAGGGGTGGCGTGGAATGGTGGTGGATAACTATGATATGTGGATAATTTTTGTGAGGAATTACTAGGGTGGCTCAAGAGGTGATTTCGGTGAGATAAGTTGAAAGGAAGTATTGAAAAGACTTGCGTGGTTGAGAGCGCGGCAACAACGCTGCAATCAAAGAGTAATATGGACGAACGTGCTATTGTACAGCAAGAATATGGCATGTCGTTGTCATGTACACGCTGAGAGACGGTGAGGTGAAGCGTTTACACATGGGTTTTTAGGTTTATATGGGATCGGGTGCGATGGTTAAGTAGGCGGTGTTAACATTCCGGTCTGTCGAGGAGGGCTGGGTCTATTACCTCTGGGAAAATAGGATGATGAGCGTTGTACCTAAAACGAAGTTATTTAGGAGGGTGCGTGAGGGGAGGTGGACTTGTGCGAGTTACGTAAGGTATGCAACGGTGGTGGGGGGTAGGGATTTAAGAGTTGGTGAGGCCCATGTTAGGTTATTAATGACAGTGAGGGATACGTCGTGGTGTTTAATATTGCGGGTCCTCGCAGGAGTGGAAGGTAGGTCGTGAATGGTGGCTGCTGTTGAAGGGGCATTACCCTATGTATGCGTGGATACGTCATATGGAAGCTGTTTCAAAAAAACAATTACGTGTAAGACCGGGTGTTCGGGACGGTATTGTTTTAGATTTTTACATGGGGATTTTGCCGTTCTGGGGTTGAGTCCTATTCATAGGAGGAGGTTAAGGGAGGGAGGGGAATGTAGAGGTGTGGATGCATGGGAGTCATTTTTGCATGCGGTATATTTTTGTGACTGTATAGGAAGTGGTGCGGGGTCTGGTTAGGAAAAGGTGTTCAGGTAGTGGGTGGGGGGAGAGCCATTGCAGGTTGTTGCGGGCTTTAAGTTTGGTTATAGGTGGGTGGGTGAGTAAGTTGGGTGGACGAATGCAGTGCGTATTTGGTCACGGATTTTTATTTATACGTCAGTGGGCCTTGAGGGTGGGGGGGGGGGGGGGGTTGGGCGGGGAGGTGAGGAGAATGGTGTTTGATGCGACATTTTTTACAGATACTAAGTGTCGTAATAGGGAAATTGATGGTGGGGAATTGGGAGAGGGGAGAATGCGTGTACTGTGGGCTATCGGAGTTTTAGGTTGAGGGATTTATGGGATTTAAGTGAATTGTATGGGGGTCGCGGCGGGGTGGCTTCCCGATGAGGATCAGTGTGAAAGGATTTAGTGTGGAAGAGAATTGAATATAAGTACTGAGACATAAGTGCCTTTGACTGTATGATGAGGGGTTGTGTGTTGTGAAGACGTACACGTTCTTCAATTTAATTATTAATTATGATAATGACCAAAGACGACAGGAGTCGTAATGTGATGGATGATTATATAGTGAAACGAAATTAATTGGTTTGTGTGATGTAATGAAATGACAAAAATTGGGGTGCAACTGTGTGAATGCGAAAATATATATATACCTTGAAAGTAGTGCGTTTGTGGTAGGATGGCTTACAAGTATTTACCGACGTGTGAAAGGTCAGTGCACTGTTTGTTTTGTGATCACAGACTTACTTTTAGTAGTGGTTTAATGATATGGTGAAAATATTTTTAGGAAAAGCTTGGACTTAACCTGTTTTCTTAATACATATTGTTTTTTCATTGGGAGCTCTATAGAGCCCGTAGGTTTATGTTTACCATTGAATTGATATATATTATAGGGTAATTGATGGATGACTTAGGATTAGGTATTGGTGTTTTCATGCGGTTGTGTTGTAAAGGTTTGTAACATGGTATATACTTTATGCCTTTCCTGGAGAACGGTGATATTGATTTTTGGGTGTTTAGTAGATATACGTTGTAAATGAATCATGTTGAATTGAATTTTATATTATTCAATTACATGCGTGATACTGAACGTATCATTGTTGTTCAATATGGAATAATGGAAGTATTTCTTAAATATAACAGTTACCTTATAAACGATTGTTTACGTGTCATGTGGCTTGGACACGCATGAAAGGGGGGGGGTAGTGTTTTCGAATGGATAGGTGTACATTCCGGTGGCAGGGATGTACAATCAGGAAGTAGATGTTACTGCCAAGGAGTCTTTAGGTTAGATTAGTGTTCCAGACATAATTGTCATTACTTCAAGGATTGGAGTGGTCAATTGTTTAATGTACAGTATTTGTCTTTCAAATGTAATATGTTAATTGAAAAGTACTTGTTCTTTGCAGAAGTTTTAATCACTATTATCGCTATGTAATGTGTCGTTATTTTTATGTACTATGTATGTCTTTTCAATAAATTATAAAAAAAAAAAAAAACAGCATTCATCTCATCAGTGCTTAGCGCTTCTTTTTGATTATAATAAATAATAATATTCCTCATCACGGTGGTCACTACCGGCATATCGATTGAGCTACAATGTGCAGACAACGATGGCGCAAAAAGGGACATGCCGCTTTTGTAGTCTTTGTAAGGAGAAAACTGTGACAGGGGGGCGTCATGGCGGTCCATCACCAAATAAGAACAACAAGACCTGGTTCCTGGCTTTTCCATAAGCATCTGATGATGGAGAGTCGGTGGTAACTCTATTTACCACAGCTGCCTCGAGACTTCCCAGGAGGCAACCAGGTGGATTATTTACTTCTCTTAACTTGTATTTGATTTGAAGGAATTTGTTGAAAAAGAAGCGTTTTGTATTACTACTTCAGATCCAAAAATCTGTAATAATACATTTCGATGGTTCGTGTAATATTTGTGTTTAGCAGGTGTAATATATTAGGCAAATTTGATATTTAAATTATTTCCCTCTGTTGATATATCTCTATTTCGAAGGAGCCGAGTGGTGATGGATCCTTAAATATCAGGACAGCCAGTTTGGGTGTGGAGAGTCGGCATATTCAATCACGTTAATTTTTCTCTTATGATTTAATAATCGCAATTATATTGTTAACACCTTGTGTCTTCTTGGTGCGAGGTGAACCTTCATGGAAGATACAGGCTTCTTGATATCAACAAGAACAACCAGTGTCGTGTAACACAAACATGGGTACCGGGTAGGACAGCCCCTTTCACTTTGTTTTTCTTGCCACTCCAGGAGATGGGGCGGAGGAGTTTCTTATGATGTTGGTGAATGATTTTGATCCAAGGAAATTAAAGCTAACCCTCTGGATCATTCCCTGATAGTTCCCACTTCGTAGGTGCTGTAAAATCGATCAGGGGTTTGGAAATTTTCATTATGAATTTAAGAATATTAATAAATGAACTTGAGTTTTGTGGACACTCGTGAACTTGTTTGTGCTGATAAGGAACTTGGCCATTTCAAATATGAAGAGAGCAAGCTAGAGTTTTACAACAATTTCATTCATGAGAAAGAACATAGCATTGCCTAGCCTAGACATGTTACCTCCAAGTAGGCTGGGTTCACCAGCGCTGGAGGAAATTGAAAGGCAATAAGGTTCGATCCAAGGAATCGAGAAGAGATCAAATTCCTTGAATAAATATCCCTCACTGGCGTCAAGTCACTCTGATCCAGAGGAGAGTATAAGCAGCTTTCATGGCATTTGTGATTTGCGTGGTAGGAATAAGCCAGAAGTGAAGTGCAAAGCTTGACATAAAGGAATGACCATTAAGTATGTGACAGTCATATAAGGCAAGAAATTGAAATGTTTCTGAGAAATTTGTCGGGGCTTGGTGGCCTGAGGTGGTCTAGGGCTCGGGGGCCTGATGGTTAACGCTCTCGCTTCACACGGTGAGGGGGGCCTGGGTTCGATTCCAGCCAGAGTAGAAAAACATTGGGACGTGTTTCTTTCCACCTGTGGTCTATGTTCCCCATCTGTAAAATGGGTACCTGGGTTGTTTGTCGATGGTGTGGGTCGCTTCCTTGGGAACATCTGGTCTAAGGTGGGCCTGGTCACAGACCGGGCCCCGCGGGGGCCGGTTGAGTCATTCAATGACGGTTGAATCATCCCATAATAAGTAGCGGACGTGGTTGATTCGCCCCACTGATGGTCACCCACAATAGTTGATGGCCCCACAGTGGTTAGTCGCCTCACAACGGGTGGTTGCTTCCCTACAGTAAAGGGGATCGGAGGCAAGATATGGTTGTAATATAACCTTAACTGTTGTTTCCTGGAACTTAACTGGAAGTTGCGCCATCAAGCTAACTCGCATTTGTATTTCATAGTGTTACTTTCATTTTTCTCAATCTTTTATACGTTAGTAAATCTATTCAATGGAATCCAGCCTAATATATACTTAATTATCTCTAATTGTCATTGATTATTGCGTATAAAGGGAAGTATTGAACACATGCTTTAAGCTCTTTTTTAAATATTCATAATCTTGTTTGTTCATTAAGCGAATAAAAAGAGTATGTTATGAATCCTATCGGGAAAAAACGGGTTCGGGTTGCTGGTGTAAATGAGCTGCGTGTAAGAGTGGTGGCGGGTAGCCTGTCTGTGGACTAGTCTTACTCTGGTCTCCACAGCAGCAACACCAATTGCAAAGTAACGCCGGCAGTTAATTCTTCACGTCGCACCAAAATGTCGTCATAAGTTTTAGTTACCTATGTGCGGGTTATTTGTGTTTTGCCAGCAGTAAAAGCTATCTAAACGAGCAAAAAGTTAGCAAGTGGCTCTTTACTTTATAAGTATTGAGTTTCACTTACCGCGATGCTCCTCGTTCTCGTGAAGCAATTAAAAAAAACATTGGAACTCATACGTTATTAACTTCGAGTTCATATTGGAAATAAACATTAAGGTAGTAGTCTGAGATCATCGTGACTGATGTACCTTTATAAGAGAGTCCAAGTTGCCGCATGACTAATTGGCAACAATATTTGGTCTTGCTGAAAACATAACGTTATTTATATATAAATAAGACTTTCAACTTGGAATATAGTGCATACAAAAAATCTTAATACTGGAATCAGGCACGATGTGTATGAATAGGAGTGTGAGGTTAGGAGGATGTTAAGTCGTGAAGCCTGGCCTGTCCTTTACCTTGCCTATGTTAAAGCTCCTATCGCCTCGCACAGTGTCTGGGCTTCCACCGGGGACACCATACCTTGTGCTGTTGCACACACTGCCTCCCAAAGAGGCTTTGCCGGATTATCTTGCATTTCTCGCGAGTGTGGGACTTGTGGCGTACCCCTGAGAGTATTCAGAAAGTTTTGTACACTACACCAGCCGGGGGAGATGACTGCTCATCTGTGTATCACCACGTACAAGAGCCCCAAGCATGAGGTGCTTAAGTTGGAGGTAGGTGACGGGAGGCTCGCTGGCTGTAGTGTACTGCCAGGAGTCACCATCCTGGTTCCTTAGTGCTTTATCTTGTAGAATGGTGTTACAAATATAAATTAGGTGTATTTCAAAAACGAATATTATTAATTAATACTTGATATTGACCTCTAGATTGTGAATGCATGTTAATATTCTGTGAAGTTAGATATACGTTTACTTTAAAAAAATATCTTCGACAGTAGCATTCCCTTAGTTTGTTAATGGTATCTGTAAGAATCTAGATGCATTTGTGACTTGTGTTTATGAGAGACGGGGATTTGACATAACATGATCTTGTTCCAGTACTTTATTGTGGTGTGAGAATTAAGTTTATTTTTTTACTCGGTTGAATTTACAAGCTAAAAGCTGCTCTTTTGCCTCGGCTCATTTCAAAGCCCAGCTTTACCTAAGGTATACTACCAGTTCCCTCTCTTCAGGATTCCACCCACAATAGTCATCAAACTCCTAGGTACTTATTGACTGCTAGGTGAACAAAAACATTGGGTGTAAGATCATTTACCCATAAATCTCGTCTAACTTGGGAATCAAACTCGAGTGCCTTTGCTTGTAAGCGGGGAGCTGTTATCACTCAACACACACTTGTTTAGTGATAAAGGATTTTGATGTTTCATTGCCAGAATTTATCGTAATGTGGCTAGTACTGTAGAAGCATGTTATTTATTTCATGAGCCTAGTATCCACAGGGAAAAGTTACTATATTGATGGGAAAACATTGAACCTGTACCCTGTCATACAGCGTTTGGGTATCGGAGGCTACCAGATTCGATCCAAAGAAAGCAAGGAACAAGTTCAATCAGGGACAAGATAGGCCCACTCAAAAGTTCCTCGGGTCAGCTCACTGACAGTGATAAGGAAATGTGTAGAATTTTTAACACATACTTCCTCTCAGTTTTTACACAGGAGGATACCAGTGATATTCCAGTAATGATAAATTATGTAGAACAGGACGATAATAAACTGTGCACTATTAGGGTCACAAGTGACATGGTCCTTAGGCAAATAGATAAATTAAAACCTAACAAATCCCCAGGCCCTGATGAACTGTATGCAAGGGTTCTAAAGGAATGTAAAGAGGAGCTTAGCACACCTTTGGCTAATCTTTTCAACATATCACTACAAACTGGCATGGTGCCAGATAAGTGGAAAATGGCAAATGTGATACCTATTTCAAAACAGGTGACAGGTCCTTAGCTTCGAACTATAGACCAATAAGCCTAACCTCCATAGTGGGAAAATTTATGGAATCAATAATTGCCGAGGCAGTTCGTAGCCACCTTGAAAAGCATAAATTAATCAACGAATCTCAGCATGGTTTTACAAAGGGACGTTCCTGCCTTACGAATTTATTAACTTTTTTCACTAAGGTATTTGAGGAGGTAGATCATGGTAACGAATATGATATTGTGTATATGGACTTCAGTAAGGCTTTTGACAGGGTCCCACATCAGAGACTATTGAGGAAAATTAAAGCACATGGAATAGGAGGAGAAATTTTTTCCTGGATAGAGGCATGGTTGACAAATAGGCAGCAGAGAGTTTGCATAAATGGGGAGAAATCAGAGTGGGGAAGCGTCACGAGCGGTGTTCCACAGGGGTCAGTGTTGGGCCCCTGCTGTTCACAATCTACATAAACGACATAGATGAGGGCATAAAGAGCGACATCGGCAAGTTTGCCGATGACACCAAAATAGGCCGTCGAATTCATTCTGACGAGGACATTCGAGCACTCCAGGAAGATTTGAATAGACTGATGCAGTGGTCGGAGAAGTGGCAGATGCAGTTTAATATAGACAAATGCAAAGTTCTAAATGTTGGACAGGACAATAACCATGCCACATATAAACTAAATAATGTAGATCTTAATATTACGGATTGCGAAAAAGATTTAGGAGTTCTGGTTAGCAGTAATCTGAAACCAAGACAACAGTGCATAAGTGTTCGCAATAAAGCTAATAGAATCCTTGGCTTCATATCAAGAAGCATAAATAATAGGAGTCCTCAGGTTGTTCTTCAACTCTATACATCCTTGGTTAGGCCTCATTTAGATTATGCTGCACAGTTTTGGTCACCGTATTACAGAATGGATATAAATTCTCTGGAAAATGTACAAAGGAGGATGACAAAGATGATCCCATGTATCAGAAACCTTCCCTATGAGGATAGACTAAGGGCCCTGAAACTGCACTCTCTAGAAAGACGTAGAATTAGGGGGGATATGATTGAGGTTTATAAGTGGAAGACAGGAATAAATAAAGGGGATGTAAATAGTGTGCTGATAATATCTAGCTAGACAGGACTCGCAGCAATGGTTTTAAGTTGGAAAAATTCAGATTCAGGAGGGATATAGGAAAGTACTGGTTTGGTAATAGAGTTGTGGATGAGTGGAACAAACTCCCAAGTACCGTTATAGAGGCCAGAACGTTGTGTAGCTTTAAAAATAGGTTGGATAAATACATGAGTAGATGTGGGTGGGTGTGAGTTAGACCTGATAGCTTGTGCTAACGGGTCGGTTGCCGTGTTCCTCCCTTGAGTCAATGTGACCTGACCTGACTAGGTTGGGTGCATTGGCTTAAGCCGGTAGGGACTTGGACCTGCCTCGCATGGGCCAGTAGGCCTTCTGCAGTGTTCCTTCGTTCTTATGTTCTTATGTTCTTAAGTTTAATTCCTTGCGTTAACAACCCCTCACCCTCAGCTTAAGGTTTTAAGCCCAATATTGAATCTTGAATCTGGAGCCAGTTTTTTGGGGATTCCCTGATATGTACATTGTTTTCGTAAGAAGGCCTTTATGCTAGGAGATACTACAGGGATCGTGATATGGATATTTAAGGGAATTTTACAGGGATCTTACAAGGGATATTGTTTAGTGGGGATACTTTAAAGTTCATAGGGATATCGTTTAAAGGGGATACTGCAGGGTTTGTATGATCTTGTTGAAGGGGCACTACAGGATTAGTAAGAGGGATATTGTTTAAGGGGATACTAAAGGATGCTATAGGACGTGTAAGGAAGATCTCTTATAAGAAAGCCCCAAAACAACAGGTTCGTACGCAGACTCATGCAAATAAGGCGAGTCTATATATATATGGTCTTCCCCCTTCTCCTCCCTGGCTTAGACAAAGAAAGCAGCAACAACTCGGCGGGTTATGTAAGTGCCTCACCCAAGCCAGAAATTTGAGACGACGCCTAGCCAAGGGGAAGCAAAGGCGTAAATGCGCACCACGTAGATTTCTAAAAGCATTTCCACCTAAAAGCATTTCCAAAACCTCGTCCTTCACTACATTGTACAGATTGGGTTACTGAATGATCACAGAAAAAAAGGTGGCTTGATTGGTAGTGGTCTCGGCTGGCACATTGAGGGACCGTGGCTCGATTCCCGGACGTCTGGAAATAATGGCCCTGTTTCCTACACCTGCTGCTGCTAGTCACACAGCAGTAGGTAGTGTAGTGTAGGCAGCATTCTGAGTGAAAGGATTAAAAGAACCCATATATATTATATATATATAAAATATATATATATATATTTTATATATATATATATATTATATATATATATATATATATATATATTTATATTATGTGTGTATGTATGTATGACCCCTGTTGGTTTAGCGTTCCTCATGAATGTAATATTGCCCTGTTTAATAACGTTTGCTGGCTTTTAGATCCTGTATGTGCGGGTCCGATATTGCCAACATTATTTTGTAAGGATAGGATCGTTTTGCTAGACTAACTAAGCCTATAATAATTTTTGCTGTAACTGCAAAATTCAGTTTCATCACTATCAGTTTTTCATGTTTATTTAGGGCAGTTTGTGATCTGCCACATTTTTTGGGGATAGAATTTAATATGGTTTGAATCTTTCCACCATTATATTTTGTAAGGGATAGATGTATTTATTTTATCTTATCATAATTTACAGTTTCATAATTTTTAGATAAGCATTTTTAAATTGAAATTTAATTAGGTGATTACAAGTCAGATTTAAAATCTTCCAAGACTGCCAGGAATAATAGTACAAATTTTGACTCAGCAGATACATGAACACATGAAAAAGAAGTCTAATGTGACATAAAGATTATATCTGCCCTTATAAAATCCTGGAAGTTTTCGAAACAAATTATCCAGTGTATATAAAACAGGAATACAGATCAAGGTGTGGTGGAACTATCAATCCCCTTGTTCACAAGACGAGCTAAAAAGCAGTGTTTTATGTGATGGAAATAAAAGTATAACTCGGCTTATATAAATAGCAAGAGGAACTATTAGGATTGCAAGAAGCCCCACAAGGGAGGGAGAGCAGAGGAAGTATTATAGCAGGAGACGAAGGTGAGTGTGGGCTAGACTATAGTGGGACCCACAGAACTGTGGTGGCTGTCTTCCCTTCTCCACACCCGCAACCTTCACCAATGGCCATAAGTCTTCATGTGAACGATTTCAGTTTTGAAAGTCGCACCCCGACGTTGCATGTAAGTAATAAGAAAATGTTTGTGTTGGGTGTGATAATTTTGTATGTTGATGGATTCGGTCACATTTGACTTAGTCAAATATTGTCGCTGCATTTAATGTCCAAGTATTTTATGATGTGATTATATATGTACACAATGAATACATATTGTGACCGCATACATCACTGTTCTGTTTTCATGTTATATCAAGTTATTTTCCCTGTGTATTCAGCTAGTATTGGAAATCTTGGCAATGACACCAACTTTACTTCAAGGATAAAAATGAGTTATTAGCAACCTTGTACTACCAATAAGACCAGATCATTAAAGCTGGTCTTATTGGTTGGTCTTCCGTTGGTCTAGAGAAAGTTGGCCTATCATTTTTTTTGAGTGTAAAATTTAAAAAATCTTATGTATTTTGCAGATTTATGAATAATACATTTTCTACATTTATTGGATGTTTAAGGTGATCTTAAAGAAACATAAATCAAGGAAAGAAGAACAGTGATTAAT